CAAAGAAAAATCACTCCAAAAGAATCCAAAGCATTTAAAAATCAACAGAAGGATACAAGGCATCTGGAGAAAGATGAGATTTACAAAGCAAGTGCTGAGTCCAGAGATGTGCCCTGGGAAGTGATCCCTCACTGCCGTGAGTCAAGGTGGGCCTTGCAGGATGAGAATCATGGGGAAAACAGGAAGGAGGGAGTTCATGGAGAGGAAGAGGTGTGTGCAAAGGCACACATGGTTGGGCCTGTGGTGTAAGAGGTGGCTGTCATGGTTTCTTACCATCCTTCCTATGCACTTCCCAGGAGCCTCACTCTGCCCCTCCCCTTGTTTCCTCCTCAGGGACGAGGACACATGGTTTTAGGGATGGAAACCAAGTGAAGAGGTCAACCAGCACTGACAAAAGGAGGTGAACTAGATGCCCCTTTCTTTCCAAGGTTCAAAAGTCGGAAAGTGGCTGGAATACTGGCACACACTGCTTTAATCCCAGCATTCAAGAGGCAGAGGAGGCAGGCGGATCTCTGTGGGTTCTAGGCCAGTCAGGCCAGTGAGACTCTGTCTTAAAACAAATGAACAACTCACCCTAAGAAACAGAAGTCTCAGAAGACTGAGTAGTGCGTCTGAAAGGAGGGAAGTGAGAGCATCAGCAAAAATGAGACAAAGGCACTTTAAGCATGAGTGTGAGGATTGACTAACATCTCCTTGGGGGCATTAGACTCCAAGATGAGAAAGACACCAGCAAAGGAAAAAACAGGGACCTGGCTACTTACTGTTTGTTGTTGTTTATTTGTTTGTGTTCTTTTTTTTTTTTTTTTAATTGATTCTAGGTTTCAAGGAGACCACACAGGAATCCTAGTTTACCTAGGCCAGGTCCCCAGAGGAGTGAAAAGTGACATGCCTGTGGGACAAAGCCTCTGTAAGCCATAGACAAAGGCTTTAATTTAATTGTGCTGTCCTCAAGAACAAGGCTCCTGGAGCAGCTTCCACCACCATGCAGCACCACTGTGCTACTCATGGTGGGCGATGAACAGTACCAGAGGGGAAGCCTACAGCCCTGATCCCAGGTAGCACTACTCCCTCAAACAACCAAGGTTGTCTGGAACCAGCGGCTGGCAGTTGTAGGTCGTCTGCCACCTCTGCTTTACAAAGTCTCAGGCCAGCTCCAATAACCACATTTCAACTCCACTGGATCAATATTTATTGCCCTGCTTGATGCCAGGCCCTATGCTAGACACCAAGGATACAAAGAAAAGAGATACATGTCCTCTACGCTTAGGTATCTCTCAATCTAGAAAAGGAGAAAACTATCATGACAGTCACAGACAGTAAGTCCTAGGACACAGAGAACACAAGGAACTATGTCAACTCACAGTGGAACAAATAACTCCATACAGGAAATTCAAGGTTTCTCAGAGGGATGATTCATTTCAGACAGACCTAGTTTAAAGGCTGAAGAGCCAGGGGTGGTGGTTCATAGCCCAGCCCTGGGAAGCCAAGGGCAGGAGAATCATAAGAAAAAAAAAAAAAAAGTTGAGAAGATTTTTAAATGAGGAAGGGAGCAGGCAAACATGTGCATGAAAAGTAAGAGGTACAATATGGCTAAGTCAGGGAACCTGTGAGGTGGGAGAAACCAGAGAGAAAGATGGTGACGACAGCACTCAGCTTCTTCCCCCCCCCCCTTGGTTTTTTCGAGACAGGGTTTCTTTCTCTGTGCAATAGTCCTGGTTGTCCTGGAACTCGGTCTGTAGACCAGGCTGGTCTTGAACTCACAGAGATTCACATGTCTCTGCATCCCGGGTGCTGGGATTAAAGGCGTACGCCACCAATGCCTGGCTGAGCTTCTTTTCTTGATCAAGCTATGGGGCTGGTCAGCACATGGCATATGCAGAATATTTCCTTAGA